TCTGAAATCAGAGACGAAGAGTCGAGAATTTAATTCGAGCCGCCTCACATAGTCACACGCCACCCACGCTGCCCAACCAGAAACTCAAGAGTCGTGCATCAACCTCTTAGCCAGCAATCACCTAAAGTTTCTCCACACTACAAATGGAGTCAATAAATGTTCATAAAGCTTTTCAAAAAAGAAGAAGAAAAAGTTTAGAAAGTTCAAAAGAGAAAAGCTAATTAGCAATCCACAATCGCAAAACATTTAAACAACCCGCAGACTTGACAATCGCCTGGGCTTTGTCTGCTTCGCTAACGGCGGATTCACAAGGCTAACTTCGGTGCTTCGTGTGCTTCGCCTAATCTCGGATTCGCAAGGTCGATGCCTGGGCTTCGTCTGCCTCGCCTAATCACCGAACAAGTGGAAAACTAAACAATTAAATAAGAAGTCAAGTCCTCATCCCCGTCATGGTATTCTCATTCTCTGCGGATTGCAAATAGCCTCTAATTATATATTTATGATTTATCACAATTGTTTGCAAATGTGCAATTGCTTTGTGCAATAATTTCTGTATAATAACCTCTAATGATCTATTTATCTAAATCCCCTGCAAAATTGTAATTTAATCCCATTATTCAAACTATGTTTAGAGTCCTAACTGTTTATAATTCTATTTAGGATTCCTATTTACAATGAAATTGTAAATTTATTAGGTTTATTTGAAAAATAATTTTATTTTATTTTGTAAATTTTGTAATGTGTTTATTCATTTATTTATGAAGGGATTGAAGACACTTTCCACCGATTATGCGGAATCAGGATCTTGGTGTCTAAAGTGCAAGCGTTCTACATGTGTTTTTTTTTTTTTTTTTGTTTTTTGTTTTTCTTTAGACTCGGTTTATAATAATTATTTTATATAATGTTGCCTAAAAAATTATCCGGAAGCACAAAAGAAAAAAAATTGAGCATTTAGTAGACTCTCAAAGAAGAGCTATGGAATTTTTTAAATATTAGTATGTTTGTACTCATATATTGAATTAAAAATTTAGGTTAACTTTTGTATATGGTATAGCTATAGGGCCTTTGTTTTTTCATTTGCCCCGGGCCTATAAAACAATAGGACCGGCCCTGTCTCTCACAAGGACCAGAACTTAAGTCTGACGCCTTAGACCACTCAGTCATCGTGACAAATTATATTATAAAATTTAAGTGCTTTAATTTGTAGATCTAGTTTTATAAATATTGCAAATTTTGAAGTTTTTAGTAATTATAAAATTGACCCGTGTGTTTTTTAGTACTAAAATCCTCAATCGTTGATGAATTTTGTTGGACGGTTGAGATCTATCATCACATTTTATAGGAGATAATTGTTCTTATTTGAATCCACCCATATATCTGTGCATGTTTATAATTCTTAAATTTATAAAATACACGACGTAGATAGTAAGTATTGTAAAAATAATATATAATTAAAACGATTAAAATATATGGTAAATGTTTTATTTTCAAATTTAAAATTAAAAATTAGGTATGGTTTATAATAACTGATTTATTTAAAACTATGAAAAAAACACATATAATAAAATATCTGACTTTTTGTAAATATGTAAAAGTTTTTTCTTAATCATTTTGGGGAAAAGTAACACCATTTAAAAAGAAAGCCACATTATTTTAGACTAATAACACAGTAGTGTTTTACCCCTGTAATAAACCAGGTGTGTTTTACTTAAAAGTTTTTATATATAATTGTTCGTGATATGTACTATAATCTAAAAAGTTTGACAATTTAAATATTTGAAAACTTTTAAAGTTTTTATATATAATTGTTTGTGATATGTACTATAATCTAAAAAGTTTGACAATTTAAATATTTGAAAACTTTTAAATTAAATTAAAGTGTATTAGTGTAGAAAATTTACTTTAATTTTTTATATTATAAAATTTCAAGGAGAATTCAACAATCTTAACTACTATATGACATTTATATATTATAATAATATTATCAAATATGAAATTTGAGTATTTATTTGTTAACTTTCGTTCATTTAGTTTTATTGTATATTTTAGATTTTAGATAACTTTGTATTTTTTTTTTTTTTGAAACCAAAATGAACGACTTTCATTAAAAAGCTAACAAGCCTGCAATACAAGTATGTGGGATAACAGCCCACGACTTAGAGCCAGACGAAGAACCAGTTGCACGAGCAAGTTCATGAGCCACATGGTTCGCTGATCTCCTGACATGAAGGACTTTAACGTCCCCTATGTCCCTAGCAATTGACAAACATTGCTTAACAATCATACCCTCATAAGAAAAATCTAACGTACGTGAATTGAAAGCATTACAAAAAGATAAACAATCTGATTCTAAGATAATACGACTATGATGCATCCCCGCTAACCACTTGAGAGCTTCATACGCCACAAGGACTTCGGCCCATAAGCGGTTCCCGAGTGCAAGTAATTCGTCCGCTACGAGCCGCAACAAAGCTGCCGAGATGGTCCCGAATCACCACTCCATATCCCGCGCCATCAACGAAAACGGCCGCATCAACATTGCACTTTAGAACGCTATGAGGAAGGGGTGACCAATGAGAGATGCTAGTCCACCCGTTCGCCAGATTGGTCGAGTTGCTGAATGCGTTTTTCCACAGTAACTGGAGATGCACAACCTGCGCCTTAAGATTCTCCATTGATAGCGATAAGCCCCTCCATACCACATCATTCCTCGCCTGCCACAAAGTCCAGAAAACAGCAGCTAACCGGACAGAATTCTCCATAGCCGAACCTCCCAAAATCGATTCCATGAAGATCGCTAGACACTGCCCTTGGAGCACGACATCCGTATCCCACACACCTCTAGCCCAAGAACATTCATAGAAGACATGTTCTGCCGTTTCAAATGGAAAGCTACAGAACGGACAACCGCCCCCAATCCAGACCCTTTTCATTCTCAAATTCTCCCGGACCGGCAACACTCCCCGTGAGCACCTCCAAAGAAGATTCTTCACTTTGGGAGGCACTGGAATAGCCCACAAGCGGTTCCACGAGTGAAAGACAACAACCAAAGACATTCCCCCCATAGAAGCAGTAAGCAAATGGTACCCATGTTTCACTGTGTAGCACCCTCGGATGTCACCAACCCATCTCCAAGAATCCTTCAAAGAGTTATTGATAGGTGTTGCTAATATTCTGCGAACATCATCCTCCCGAAAGAGATCCCGTAACACGCCTTCATCCCAATCTCCGTGCTCGGTCATCAAACCACACACTCTCGCCTCCCTAAGATCTTCATTGCAAGGAGTGATTAGCGCTGCATTGGTTGAATTTGATAACCAGCCCCAACCCCAGATTTTGGTGTCCCGGCCATCACCTATTCTCCGAGCTAACCCCTGCCTCAAGACATCCTGCCCTGCCAAAATGCTACGCCAAAAATAGCTTGGGTTTCCACCCAGACTTGCATCCATAAAATCACATTTGGGAAAATACTTGGCTTTCAACAGTTTACACACCAAAGATTCCGGCCGCATCAACAACCGCCACCCTTGTTTAGTAAGTAAAGCGAGATTGAACTCGTGCAACCGTTTAAAGCCCAAACCCCCCTGCATTTTGGTTCGCATAACCGACTCCAGCTAAGTCAATGTATCCCCCTTCCTGACCCACCACCACCCCACCAAAAACGATTAAACATTTTTTCAAGAGTGTTACAACTTCGGACAGGCAATAGAAAAGTGGACATAGTAAAAATAGGGAGAGCTTGTGCAATACTTTTAAGTAGAACCTCCTTACCCGCCCTTGATAACAATTTATGCTGCCACGCCCCCATCCGCTCTTCGATTCTTTCCTCAATAAAACGAAAAGTGGCGAACTTATTCCTCCCGAGAACCGAAGGGAGACCTAAGTACCGCCCCAAGTTTTGTGATTCCCGCACTCCAAAACACTCTGACACCATGTTCTTTATAGCAACAATAGTATTGGCGCTGAAAACAGCGCTTGATTTGGTGAAATTAATTAATGCCCCGAAACCAGACAGTACCTGTCTAAACACTCTTTTATTGTAGAAGCTTCCTGATGTGTTGCCCTGAAAAACAACAAGCTATCGTCAGCAAAGAACAAGTGGGTGATAGATGGCGCACCCTGGGCCACTTTCACACCATGAATGTCTCCCCTATCCTCCGCTTGTTGGAATAAGACTGATAACGCCTCGGCACAAAGAATGAATAAATAAGGAGAAATCGGGTCCCCTTGCCGAATACCCCGAGTGGGGCACACGGTACCCACAGGTTCCCCGTTAACCTGCATTGTATAAGTAACCGAGGAGACACACAACATCACTAGTCTCACCCAAGACTGGTTAAAACCCAAAGCTAGCATAATTCCCTCCAGAAAGCCCCACTCCATTCTATCATATGCTTTGGCCATATCAAGCTTCAACGCTACCCACCCCATGCCTCGTTCACCTTCCTACGGAGAAAGTGACACACCTCCCCAGCAACAATAATGTTATCGGTGAGCAATCTCTCGGGGACAAAGGGACTTTGAGATTGCGACATGACATGACACAACAACTCCTTGAGTCTATTAGCCAACATCTTAGCCAAGACTTTGTACACAACATTACACAGGGCGATCGGTCGCAAATCCGCCACCGATTTCGGGACTTTTTTCTTAGGTAGTAGGACAATGTTAGACACATTCAGGCCCTGCGGGAAACTGCAGGTGTCAATACAGCTTAAGACAAACATTGACAAATCATGGCCCAGAATTGGCCAGAAATGCTGATAAAAAGCTGGTGACATGCCGTCCGGACCCGGAGTCTTCTCCGGGGCCATAGAGAACAACGCGGCCTTCACATCCGTGATCGTGAACGGCTGCATAAGGGCAGCGTTCATCTCGTCTGACACGCGTCGGCCTACCCGCGAAAACAAATCTGAATTACAGCCCCCAGAGCAAAAAATAAGATTATAGTACCTCAGGACTTCCGCGTGCATTGCCGCCCCTTCTCTCCACACTCCATTCTAATCTTTGATTCTCAAAAGCGTGTTCCGACTTCTACGTGCAGAGGCCGCCTTATGAAAAAATTTATTATTGGCTTCCCCATGTTTCAACCAGAGTTGTTTTGATCGCTGAAGCCAAAACAATTCTTCTTGCCTCAACAAGTTTTCGAGCTCAATTTCCGCCTCTAGAAACTCCCGAACTGCCTGCACCGACCTGTTCTCTTTCAACTCTGCCAGCCGATGACGCAAAAGCTTTATACGATTACCAAACTTTCTGGCATGATCCCCACCCCATCCTCTCAGTTGTTGACCACAGATACCAATACGCTGTTGAAAATCCAAGCCAATCGTTTGACTCCACGCCGATTCCACCACTTTCGCACAACCCGCATCGAGGAGCCAGGCAGATTCGAATTTAAAGGAATACCTGACTGAGCGTATTGGTCGCGTCTCGAGGTCGAGGAGAATGGCGCTGTGGTCTGATTCTACTATAAACACTTTACGCACTGCTGCGTCCTCGTACAACTCCACCCAATCCATCGTTGCCACCGCCCTGTCTAACCTTTCCTCCACCCATGCCTCCGTACCATGACCTTTCTCCCACGTAAATCGGCCACCCAGACATTCCCAGATCATGAAGTTGACAATCATCTAGAGCATCAATAAAGTCCTCCATGAGCCCATCCGGATGTGAATGGGCACCCCGTTTCTCAGACAGACTAGTAATATCGTTAAAATCACCCGTGACAACCCAAGGGAGTGATGATTGTTCCTTAAGTTACCGCAGGAGATCCCACGTGATATGCCTTCTTGACCGATCTGGATTACCATAGAAACCCGTCAGCCTCCACCTCGGCTTATCAGGAAACGTGACATCCATGTTAATGTGATTATCCGAAAAGCTCCGAAGCGAAGCCTCCTCCGCATCCCTCTACAACAACGCTAAACCGCCTCCCATCCCAACATGATCCACACACACCGCACCTTCAAACCCCAACTTCACCCTCACTTCCTCCACTTTCACACTGAACGCTTTCGTCTCCATCAAGAAAACAAAAAAGGGTCGCTATTTGGACACTATGTCCAATAATTCGCGAACTGTCCGGGTGCCACCCAATCCCCGGAAGTTCCAACTGAGGACACTCATTGGACAGGGCGAGTCTGGTCATCCAGACCCGCCGGCATCAGATTTTTTGAACCGTCAGACATCAACACGTCCTCCCCTGCCGCCTCACTATGTTGTTTGGCCGTCTCCCTACGCCTTTTCAACTCCCCCTGCAACCCTACGATTTCTTAGACCGTCACCAAAGCCAAAGGCGAAGGCCCTGGAGTAGAGGGAATCGGGGCTAACGGGACATCCAGTGGCAATATCCATTTTGCCCCCACTGGTTTGGCTTACCTCCGCAGTCCGGCCCGCATCCAACTACCAAACGGGAACGACTCAGGGGAAATACCATTTTCATAAGCCTTCCTGCAGAACTTATCAATGTGACCCAAAATCCCGCAGCAGAAACAGAACGCATTCAGTCTTTCATAGCGGAAATTGATCCATTGAGTGGATCCATCCTTGCGCACCAGTTTCATGTGTCTCTTCAGCGGCATTGCAATCAACATCTTAACCCTGATCCGAAAAAAGCTTTTCCACGATCCGCCGAAATTGATGGAATCGATCGCCACAAATGAACCTAGGTAATCGCCGATACGGGTCAGGAATTCCGATGATGCATACATCGCCGATAACCCGTGGACTTGCACCCAAAATGCGACGGAATCCAAATTGACATCCTCGGGCCTCAATTCTGGATGTACGCGCTCGCACACTAGCGTGTGATTCTCAAACGACCAAGGGCCATCGTCGAGAATCCTCTGTAGATCCTTTGAATGGGGGAAACGGAAGAGAAACAGCTCATCCGTTAGTGCCTCCACCTGCATCCCCATCACCGGTCGCCATACCGATGCCAGAACCTGTTGCATGTGGTCAAATTTAATCGGACGATCTTTAAGAAATCGCCCAACCATACAATGGTGAATTGTCGAATCGCTCGAAGGCGGGGGATCCGGTGCCTCCAGGCCAGACACCTCCTCCTCCGCAATGGATAGGCTTGCACAATGAACCTCAATTTGACAAATATCCATGATGAGATGAGACAGACACGCCAGAAGACAGAATAGAAATTGCGATTGCAATGGACAAGCCATCGGATATATATAAAGAAACAAACCCTAGATAACTAGGGAGGATCTCTCCTGAACACGATCAAGAGAGAGGGCCATTAAGCGACGGACACAATCGGAGTCGAAGAACATGAAAATTGCGGAGCATTTTTGTCTTTACTGCTAATCTGTATTTTTTTAATTACACTTACCTTAAAGAAGAGAAATTATTACTAATGTCAAAAGTGGGATTTAAACCCACACCCTCTCACAAGGACCAAAACTTGAGTTTAGCGCCTTAGACCACTCGGCCATCCTAACAAATCATGTTATAAAATTTAAGTGCTTTGTAGATCTAGTTTTATAAATATTGCAAATTTTGAAGTTTGACATAATTATAAAATTAACCGTGTGTTTTTTAGTACTAAAATCCTCAATCATTGATGAATTTTGATGGACGGTTGAGATCACCCATCACTTTTTATAGGAGATAGTTATTCTTATTTGAATCCACCCATATATGTGTGCATGTTTATAATGCTTAAATTTATTAAATACACGACGTAGAGAGTAAGTATTGTAAAAATAATATATAATTAAAACAATTAAAATATGTGGTAAATGTTTTATTTTTCTATTGATTAGTTTTACAAAATATGAATCGAAAAAAAAAATAATATTTGACAGATTATATTGTTGGCGAAAATTATAATTTAATATTTTATATCATATGTAGATAGTGAATTGAGTAATTATTTTCAAATTTAAAATTAAAATTAGGTATGGTTTACAATAACTGATTTATTTAAAACTATGAAAAAAAAAACATATAATAAAAGATCTGACATTTTGTAAATATGTAAAAAAAATTTCTAAATCAATTTGGGGAAAAGTAACACCATTTAAAAAGAAAGTCACATTATTTTAGAATAATAACACAACAGTGTTTTACCCGTGTAATAAACCAGTTGTGTTTTACTTAAAAGTTTTTATATATAATAGTTTGTGATATGTACTATAATCTATAATCTAAAAAGTTTGAAATTTTAAATATTTGAAAACGTTTAAATTAAATTAAAGTGTATTAGTGTAGAAAATTCACATTAATTTTTTATATTATAAAATTTCAAGGAGAATTCAACAATCTTAACTACTAAATGACATTTATATATTATAATATAATAATAGTTATCAAATATGAAATTTGAGTATTTATTTGTTAACTTTTGTTCATTTGGTTTTATTATATATTTTATATAACTTTGTATTTTTTTATTTTCACTTACCTTAGAGAAGAAAAATTATTACTAATGTCAAAAGTGGGATTTGAACCCACGCCCTCTCACGAGGACCAGAACTTGAGTCTGGCGCCTTAGACTACTTGGCTATCCTGACAAATCATGTTATAAAATTTAACTGCTTTGTAGATCTAGTTTTATAAATATTGCAAATTTTGAAGTTTGAAGTAATTATAAAATTAACCTGTGATGTTTTTTAGTACTAAAATCCTCAATCATTGATGAATTTTGATGGACGGTTGACATCAACCATCACTTTTTACATGAGATAGTTGTTCTTATTTGAATCCAACCATATATGTGTGCGAGTTTATAATGCTTAAATTTATTAAATACACGACATAGATATTAAGTATTGATAAAATAATATATAATTAAAATATATGGTAAATGTTTAATTTTTCTATTGATTAATATTATAAAATATGAATAGAAAAAAATATTTGACAGATTATATTGTTGGTGAAAATTATAGTATAATAATTTAGGTCACATCTAGGTAGTAACTTGAGTAATTATTTTAAAATTAGGTATGGATTATAATATATGATTTAATTAAAATTATGAAAAAAACATATAATAAAAGATCTGACATTTTTTGTAAATATATAAAAGTTTTATCTAAATCATTTTGGGGAAAAGTAACACCATTTAAAAAGAAAGTCAATAGTTATCATTTTGAGTATTTATTTGCTATCTTTCGTTCATTTGGTTTCATTATATATTTTAGATAATTTTAAATTTTTTAATTACACTTACCTTAGAGAAGAGAAATTATTACTAATGTCAAAACTGGGATATGAACCCACGCCCTCTCACGAGGACCAAAACTTGAGTCTGGCGCCTTAAACCACTCGGCCATCCTGACAAATCATGGTATAAAATTTAAGTGCTTTGTAGATCTAGTTTTATAAATTTTACAAATTTTGAAATTTGAAGTAATTATAAAATTAACCCGTGTATTTTTTAGTACTAAAATCCTCAATCATTGATGAATTTTGATGGACGGGTGACATTAACCATCACTTTTTACATGAGATAGTTGTTCTTATTTGAATCCAACCATATATGTGTGCGAGTTTATAATGCTTAAATTTATTAAATACACGACATAGATATTAAGTATTGTTAAAATAATATATAATTAAAATATATGGTAAATGTTTAATTTTTCTATTGATTAATTTTATAAAATATGAATAGAAAAAAATATTTGACAGATTATATTGTTGGTGAAAATTATAGTTTAATATTTTATGTCATATCTAGATAGTTACTTGTGTAATTATTTTAAAATTAGGTATGGATTATAATATATGATTTATTTAAAACTATGAAAAAAACATATAATAAATTATCTGAGTAACACCATTTAAAATGAAAGTCAATAGTTATCATTTTGAGTATTTATTTGCTATCTTTCGTTCATTTGGTTTTATTATATATTTTAGATAATTTTGAATTTTTTAATTACACTTACCTTAGAGAAGAGAAATTATTATTAATGTCAGAAGTGGGATTTGAACCCACGCCCTCTCACGAGGACCAGAACTTGAGTCTGGCGCCTTAGACCACTCGGCCATCCTGACAAATCATGTTATAAAATTTAAGTGCGTTGTAGATCTAGTTTTATAAATATTGCAAATTTTGAAGTTTGAAGTAATTATAAAATTAACCCGTGTATTTTTTAGTACTAAAATCCTCAATCATTGATGAATTTTGATGGACGGTTGACATCAACCATCACATTTTACATGAGATAGTTGTTCTTATATGAATCCAACCATATATGTGTGCGAGTTTATAATGTTTAAATTTATTAAATACACGACATAGATATTAAGTATTGTTAAAATAATATATAATTAAAATATATGGTAAATGTTTAATTTTTCTATTGATTAATTTTATAAAATATGAATAGAAAAAAATATTTGACAGATTATATTGTTGGTGAAAATTATAGTTTAATATTTTATGTCATATCTAGATAGTTACTTGAGTAATTATTTTAAAATTAGGTATGGATTATAATATATGATTTATTTAAAACTATGAAAAAAACATATAATAAATGATCTGAGTAACACCATTTAAAATGAAAGTCAATAGTTATCATTTTGAGTATTTATTTGCTATCTTTCGTTCATTTGGTTTTATTATATATGTTAGATAATTTTGAATTTTTTAAATACACTTACCTTAAAGAAGAGAAATTATTACTAATGTCAGAAGTTGGATTTGAACCCACGCCCTCTCACGAGGACCAGAACTTGAGTCTGGCGCCTTAGACCACTCAGCCATCCTGTCAAATCATGTTATAAAATTTAAGTGCTTTGTAGATCAAGTTTTATAAATATTGCAAATTTTGAAATTTGATGTAATTATAAAATTAACCCGTGTGTTTTTTAGTACTAAAATCCTCAATCATTGATGAATTTTGATGGACGGCTGACATTAACCATCACTTTTTACATGAGATAGTTGTTCTTATTTGAATCCAACCATATATGTGTGCGAGTTTATAATGCTTAAATTTATTAAATACACGACATAGATATTAAGTATTGTTAAAATAATATATAATTAAAATATATGGTAAATGTTTAATTTTTCTATTGATTAAATTTATAAAATATGAATAGAAAAAAATATTTGACAGATTATATTGTTGGAGAAAATTGTAGTTTAATATTTTATGTCATATCTAGATAGTAACTTGAGTAATTATTTTAAAATTAGGTACGGATTATAATATATGATTTATTTAAAACTATGAAAAAAACATATAATAAATGATCTGAGTAACACCATTTAAAATGAAAGTATTTATTTGCTATCTTTCGTTCATTTGGTTTTATTATATATTTTAGATAATTTTGAATTTTTTAATTACACTTACCTTAGAAAAGAGAAATTATTACTAATGTCAGAAGTGGGATTTGAACCCACACCCTCTCACGAGGACCAGAACTTGAGTCTGGTGCCTTTGACCACTCAGCCATCCTGACAAATCATGGTATAAAAGTTAAGTGCTTTGTAGATCTAGTTTTAAAAATATTGCAAATTTTGAAATTTGAAGTAATTATAAAATTAACCCGTGTGTCTTTTAGTACTAAAATCCTCAATCATTGATGAATTTTGATGGACGGTTGACATTAACCATCACTTTTTACATGAGATAGTTGTTCTTATTTGAATCCAACCATATATGTGTGCGAGTTTATAATGCTTAAATTTATTAAATACACGACATAGATATTAAGTATTGTTAAAATAATATATAATTAAAATATATGGTAAATGTTTAATTTTTCTATTGATTAATTTTATAAAATATGAATAGAAAAAAATATTTGACAGATTATATTGTTGGTGAAAATTGTAGTTTAATATTTTATGTAATATCTAGATAGTTACTTGAGTAATGATTTTAAAATTAGGTATGGATTATAATATATGATTTATTTAAAACTATGAAAAAAACATATAATAAATGATCTGAGTAACACCATTTAAAATGAAAGTCAATAGTTATCATTTTGAGTATTTATTTGCTATCTTTCGTTCATTTGGTTTTATTATATATTTTAGATAATTTTGAATATTTTAATTACACTTACCTTAGAAAAGAGAAATTATTACTAATGTCAGAAGTGGGATTTGAACCCACGCCCTCTCATG